CCTCAAGGTTATATTGATATAAATAATGATATTAGTATTGTATCCAGCTTTATTCAAGGCGAATTTACAGGAGTCCCCTCTAGGCGACCAGGAGAAAAGCATATATAACAGCACGTGCAAGAATGGTAAAAGGTAAGAGGTCAGTCATTCTATTGTCCTCATTACCTACCGGCCGTGATCCCCCAGACCAGAACCTCATCCTAACTTTGGAATTCCGGGAACCATTGGCTTGTTTCCTTGCGCGGCACGCCAGGTAGCGAGGTGGGTATCACAGCTACTACATCGGTGCTCGACATCCTTTAGGGTGTTTGTGACATACGGGATCCAGCAGAGGAGCATGAAAGACAGGGAGAAGGCCATGAGACTGTGCTACAGTCAATGGAGACACCCTCAGCGCGAGGAACATACTTACTGGGTTTGTTTGCCATTAACCTTTCTAGTAGTGGTGAGGTCACGTTTATGGCATACGGGGCAATCGACGAGTGCAGGTTGACGCATGAGTGCATTGATGGGTCTCACCATTGGAACCCCCATCTGTAGCATCATCATTTGCTGCATCATCATCTGTTGCATGTCTGGATACAACTGGTGATTTATACATCAGTTCGTGCTATGCTGATGTAGAGAGGACACACCTGTCCCGGCTGCGGGTACCCGGCCTGTTGCGTCGCAGCTGGGTTTTGCCCATATGGGTTGGAATCTGGGAGCGAGTAGTAAGGAAGGGGTTGGGTCTGTCGCCCATCCATGTAATTGGGGGTGCTCGGTAAGAGTATCTTCTCCGGGACTTGGGGGGGCATGTTACTCCGACTCATGGTGAAGAGATAAAAGGAAAGTGGGGAAATAGTAGATCAAGGAAGGAATGAAATAGTGTCTTACCGCATGCGAGTCAACATCCTTGGTCTTTTATATACCTCGGATAGCGAGTCAGAGTTGTGGGCCCAGTGTCAATGTAGTGTTCGAAGAGCCGACTCGCAAGAAGCAAAAGTCCTGGCAGTTAGGCGTCGTGCTTTCCCACCGGCCACTCCAATTTCCGAAAGTCGATATGGTGACTTTCTGGCCAGCTAAATTATTTGAGACGTTTTCTAGCCATAGCCATTCTGTTAGAGAACTTCAAATTATCTTGGTCTAAAATTCAATCGATATTCAAGTGCATTTAAATGAGTTTTACGGGACCTTGCGGTCCATCGCTTCTATATATAACTTGACACTTGCCACGACTGTGTTGCAGGCCCATCATGCAAACAAGCACCCACATGATACGGAATCGAAGAAATACAGCTGTTCAAGGCCATTACAAAAATTGCGTCTTATTCGGTCAAATTTAAGGTCGAGAGCCCTATACCTTTGCGAAGACTAGATACAGCACATGGCCACAAAAGATCAATCAAGGTCCATCTTCTTGATACCCGAGGACCTATGCCAGGTGGCGAGATGAGTGTTGCAGTTGCTGCATCGATGCTCAACGTCCTTGAGTCGGTTCATCATGTACGGAATGAAGCCCATCCCGAGAAAAATGCAAATAATGGCACCCCATATGCTGTCATCAATATTAGCCATATATTCCGAGGAAAGCAGAATATCACTCAACTGGTTACTAGAGCCAATGACCAGTCTAGTATTGGTTGGGTCGCACTGATTGCACAGTGGACACTTGATGATCGCGGAATTGCGACCGAGCGCACCAATCGGCGTCACATTGGGATCCTGTTGGAAGCTTTGCAAGAGAGGTTGCTTCTCATTCGGTGTATATTGGCTGCCTTGGCGTTGTTGCTGTGATGAGGACGGTGCACCTGGTAGTTCCTTCGTTGGGGAATGGACACTGTCGGGTCTTCCGACCCCTCCAATAACTTTCGGTGGTCCATCGTAGGTAACCTTCGTGAGCTTTTCTTGCTTAAGCTCAGTTGGAGGTAAGGAAGCCTCTAAATGGGACTGAACAGGGCGAGTATAGTAGGAAGCCATCAGCAGAAGAACTAACGAAGGGGCTCAACGTGCATTCCCATACTTGCGAGTGAGCTTCACTTTATTTATGTCCCCTAGAGTATCGGGCTGACTGCTAGCTGGCATCGAAGGGATGCCGTGCAAAGGACCAGACTTGCCTTATCATTGGATAGTGATCCACCGAGTAACCTCAAGGTTAGAATTGATACCAACAAAGATGTTGACATTGGACAGAGCCTCGATCACGGCAATTTTGCAAGCGTCCGCTCTGATTGACCAGGAGAAAGGCATACATATGAATACATGTAGAAATCAAGATATTTGAAATAAGAGGCTATATATTCAAGTGTCCACGTTATGTGCCAGCTATAATCCCGCAAACTAGAACCCATCTACATTCGTGGAAGCGATCGGACCATTGGTTCTGTGCCTGAAGATTTATACCATGTAGCGAGGTGAGTACCACAGCTACTGCACCGGTGCTCAACATCTTTGAGGCTGTTCATTAAATACGGTATGAATCCGAAACCAGTGAAGAGGCAGACGACTGCAGCCCACATACTACACTAAAGTTAGTGAAAGCTTCGTTGGGAAGGAGGGAACGTACTGGTTTCCTGAGCCAATGACCTTTCTAGTAGCGGTAAGATCGCGTATACCGCACACAGGGCAGTCGACAGGTGCAGAGGCACGGTTGAGGGCGGCGATCGGAGTTGCCACCAAGGGCACTCCAGGCTGATGGGCAAAATTTGGCATGCCAGGATAGAACTGGTAATACACAAATCAGCTCTCGTCATGATCCTACAGAGGGAGAATATACCTGACCCATCTGTGGGTACCCACCCTGTTGCATTGCGCCTGGGGCTTGCCCGTAGGGCATCGCGTATGGAACCAAGTTATAAGGGACTGGTTGAAGCTGTTTCTCGTCGACATTTGGAGTGTTTGGTGTCTTGTCCTGGATTTGGGACATGTTGCTCATGGTAGATGGAAAGGGGAAAATGAAGGATCAGGGAGGTGAGCGAAACAGCGTCTTTCCCCTATTCGAATAAACTTTCTTGGTCCTTTATATTCTTCGGCGTACAGTATAGAGAGCGAGCTGGTGGCCGACTAGTGAGAACGGGGACAATAACGTGGACACTTGAATATATAGCCTCTTATTTCAAATATCTTGATTTCTACATGTATTCATATGTATGC